CCACCCCTATACGGTGTGTGACATCCTCATCGATCTCCCCGATCCCCTGAATAACAGACCCAAGGTACTTGAAACTGCTCATTGTAGGAATGACTTGAGAGTCAAGCCTCACTTCCACTCCCGCTTCCGTCGGCTCGGCCCCAAATTTGCACTCGAGGTATTCCGTCTTCGTCCTGCTCAACCTGAATCCTTTAGACTCAAGGGCCTGTCTCCAAACCTCTAGCCTCTCGTTGACGCCGCCTCGTGTCTCATCAATTAGAACTATGTCATTAGCAAATAGCATGCACCATGGCACCTCCCCTTGAATATGATGAGTTAGTGCATCCAACACCAGGGCAAATAGGAAAAGGCTTAACGCAGACCCTTGGTGCAACCCCGTAACAACCGGAAAATGCTCGGAGTCGCCTCCTACTGTCCTAACCCGTGTCTTAGCTCCATCATACATGTCTTTAATCACCCTAATGTAGGCATCCGAGACCCCTTTAACTTCTAAGCAGCTCCATAAGACCTCCCTAGGAACCCTGTCGTACGCTTTCTCTAGATCAATAAATACCATGTGGAGGTCCTTCTTCTTATATCTATATTGTTCCACCATCCTCCTAATAAGGTGGATAGCTTCTGTGGTAGATCGCCCCGGCATGAACCCGAACTGGTTGTCTGAAATAGACACTGTCCTTCGCACTCTCATTTCTACCACTCTCTCCCAGACTTTCATGGTATGACTCAGTAATTTGATACCCCTATAGTTGCTACAGCTCTGGATATCACTTTTGTTCTTATACAACGGAACCATTGTACTCCACCTCCACTCTTCAGGCATCCTATTAGTCTTGAATATAACAATAAACAACCCAGTAAGTCATTCCAAGCCTGCTCTACCCACACACCTCCAAAGTTCAACTGGAATTTCGTCTGGCCCGGTAGTTCTGCCCCTTCGCATCTTACGCATTGTCTCCATGACCTCATCGACCTTAATGTCCCTACAATAACCACGGGGACTATCGGCCTTCCTCAAATCACCTAGTACAATATCCTGATCCCCTTCTTCATTTAGAAGTTTTTGAAAGTAGGTCTGTCATCTCCTCTTAATCTGGTCATCCCCCATCAACACTCTGTCAGCATCATCTTTTATGCACCTCACTTGGTCCAGATCCCGAGCCGTCCTCTCCCTCACCTTAGCGATTCGGAATAACTTCTTCTCCCCGCCTTTGTTCCCCAGTTCCTCATACAGACGAGCAAAAGCTGTCGTCTTAGCCTTCGTTACTGCCATCTTCGCCTCCTTCTTAGCTACCTTATACCTCTCCTTGTTCGCTCTCTTCTCCTCCTCACTGGTGCTCCCTATTAACCGTAGGTAAGCCGCCTTCTTTGCTTCCACTTTACCTTGGACAACTGCATTCCACCACCAGTCTCCTTTGTGGCTACCGGTGCGGCCCGAAGATATCCCTAACACCTCTCTCGCCGCCTTCCTTATATAGTCCGTCGTCGTCGACCACATAGTGTTTGCGTCCCCCCTACTTCTCCAAGCTCCCATTGCCGATAACCTTCCTTCCAACTCCTCAGCTTTATCTTTAGTCAAAGCGCCCCACCTAATCCTCGGGCGGCCTCGTACTGACCTCTTCTTCCTCCTTATCATAATACTAATGTCCATCACCAAAAGCCTATGCTGCGTTGCAAGGGTCTCACCTGGGACAACCTTGCAATCCTCGCACAACCTTATGTCGCCTCTCCTGAAGAGGAGATAGTCAATTTGAGTTTTCGCCATCGAACTTTGGTAAGTAACCAAATGCTCCTCCCGCTTCGGAAAACATGAGTTCGCAATCACTAGATCGAATGCCTTGGCAAAGTCCAACAGCGAAATGCCCCCTCCGTTCCGCTCCCCGAAACCAAAGCCGCCATGCACCTCAGAATAGCCACCCGCAGATGACCCAATATGACCATTGAAATCTCCTCCTATGAATAATCTCTTGAAAGGCGGAATACTATGAACGATGTCATCCAACCGCTCCCAAAAGTGCCTTTTAATCTCCTAATCCAAGCCTGCTTGCGGCGCGTACGCGCTAACGACATTTAAAGTATACTCACCCACCACCAATTTAATAGTCATTAGTCTATCATTCACCCGCCTGACCTCTATGATCGACTCTCTAAGATGGCTATCTACCAGGATACCCACTCCATTCTTACCCCTCCGGACTCCAGAGTACCACAACTTATACCCATCCGCGTTTTTCGCCCTCGATCCAACCCACCTAGTCTCTTGGACACATGCTATATTAATCTTTCTCTTCTGAAGGATCTTCGCCAACTCTATAGACTTACTCGTTAGTGAACCTATGTTCCATGACCCGATTCTCAACCTATGGGCTCCCTTGCCCCCTCTACCTCCCCTGCCTCCCGTCCCTCCCCCTAACCCCGGTCCCACACTCTGCCCCACCCGAGAATAAGTGGGAGAATAAGTGGCGAGTTAATTGTTTCAGAAAGTGGTCAATGATTTGGCATGGCCTAGAAAGGAAAGTGCGATATTTGACATTAAACAAAAGAGTCTTTAAGTAATTATCTTATATTAGTTTGAAACTTCAAGAAATTGTATCAAGTAAATTGGGACAAACTAAAAATAATGGGGTAAAAAGAATGAGTACAATGAGAATAAAGTAGTTCGTTATATTCACTGGCTAGATAAAAATTATCTCCATAGTGAAATGCAATGCTTATTTCTGTAGGGTTCTTTCAAATATGTTTTTTACCTAAGTTGCTCGGACTCTTCACTTTCGGTGCAATAGTCGGCACGACGTGGGGTTGTGTGGGCGTAGATGTGGGATCCGCACCGAATCTAGTCAACCAATTTTGGATACTTTGACCAAAATCAACGAAAAAATTCGGGACAGATGCAACGATTCTGAAACTACTTATTAAAAAAAACTAGGGTGAAATTAAAGAAAATGGAATATCTTGCATATAGAAATTTCTATGTTGATCAATATTTTCTCCTCCTTGTAAGTTTTCTACAAAATGTCTCATAACTCATAAGTTAAACATATTATTATAACTCTATTTTTCGATATTTAAATTATTTTTAGCCGAATCCTTGTAGTTGTATCTGTACCAGGATCCGTACCCCGAATCATAAAATTTAGATCATGAAGGATCTGCCTCTGGATCTGCAACCGTATCCGACATTTGCACCCGAGTCCGAGCAACTTAGCTTTTTTACAGTAAGAGCACTTAAATATGAAATACGCCTCAACCTCAACACATCAAATCTCAACACCAAACCTGTGATGCATTAATATTTATCACCTCTTGGCTAAGGAGGCAAATATTGGAGATGCCACGAGAAGCCCAACCATGAAAGCAGATGATATAACACCATCCTGAAAATTGTTCAAGTTAAAATCACCCCTGCAGAAACAGACAAAAGACTAACATTAAGTCTGAGCAACAGCATAGAGATTTGCAACTTAGTGGCTGTTCCAATCATTAAACTTAGCAAGGAAAAGTTATTATCCAATAGCAGATCATCCAAGGGAAAGTATAATAAGTACATCATTGGACTCTTGGATTCAATAACTAGTCAATCATCACGAATATAAAGAACATTAGAAAGCAAAACACTAAATATTTTCCAGGAAGAAATAGACAGTGAAACATCAAATACACATCTTCCACTTTTGATCAATCACTTGGGAACCAAGCAAACTTGTAATGAAATCTCACAAACATAAAATAAATAAACAAATAAAAAGAAAGAAAGAAATTCTTACTGGATTCCACTGCCAGAAGAGCATGTACCGCTCTTAGTACACTCACTACGTTTCCCATTAACACCATTGCTTGCAATAGCTCCACGATCCACATAATTTAACAAGTTGATCACACAGAATATGGCTAGTAACCTGTCAATGGGCAGCAGATATGTCATAAGCTAATATAACTTGGTACTAGATAACAATATCATTAGAATAAAGTTATATACACTAGCAGTGACTTACCATATTTCCCAGGTCACCAATTTATATTACTTACTAAGATCATATACCTATAATTGAGTTTTAAGTAACCTACCAGCTAAAAGTTTTTCACAGTTAGTGAACCAAACAAAAACCCTTAAAAAATTAATCCAGTCATTTGTCTATTACCCGCAGACATAGATCATGAACTTCTAGTATCTAATAATGACAACAAAAAACCCTCTAAGAATTACAATCCTCTAGCCAAGATAAAATTTTTAAAAAAAATTACAACCCAAAGTGACAATGAGCATTACATTGACTCCCACGTTCTAAAAGACAAGAAGACCTCTAAAAGTCAAATCTTTCTTCAAAAAAATTTTAAGGAAAAAAAAAAGGCTCTTGCTTCTTAATTATCGAAACGATGAAGAAACCCCAGGAACCTTGGTTTCCCCTGTCATGAGTTTTCAAATCAATGATACCACAGAACCCAAAACACCCTGCTCTTTACGTAAAGATTGAAATTTCCTTCCATTTTACTTACATAAATTCAAGAAATTGCGAAATGATACCTTTTGGCAGTGAACCAAGAAGGTTGAAGAGCTAATGCTGATGAAATTGAAGCTTTGGCCATGTCTGATTTTGCAGGCGCAGCCACTGATGACGGGCTTTTAGGCATTGAATCATCCAAAGACTTTAGATTTGGCTCTGTCTCTCTCATTTAAAAGATATGTCCTTTTGCCAGCAAGTTTGGTTGGAAGAGCAGCTGAGCCCTTCCTCAAGCCTTACGGAATTCCTCGGCGTTTTCTTGCTTTTACTTTTTTACCTTTTTGTCAATGGATTATTTTTTATTCTTTCTTGATTTGCATTTGTGAATAAGTAATACTGAAATTATAATATCAAGATTATAACATGAAGATTAAATAATAATAATAATAATAATAATAATATATTTTGTTTCAATTATTATTCATATCTATCATCTCTTATGCTATTCGACTATATATAATTATATCGTTATACAAAATTTGATAAAATCTGTCACTCATCTGTTAAAAAAACCTAACATAAATACATCAACAGCCAATATATATTTTAAGATACTTAATTAATTTACTCAAACTCATTACTTGATACATTCTAAAATCTTGTTTTGAACCTCCTCTTCTATGAGATTTGTTTTCCTTGTTGCTACTACATAATGTCTTTTGATTTTTTCCCCTTCCGGATAGAATGCTTCTTTTTGCAATATTATCTTGGTATACTAAAAATCTCACCAGATCCTTCTTGAAAGCGACAGAATCAACAGCTAAAATTGCGCATCATCAAATTTATGCAGTAAAATAGAACTTCAGTTGTATATTATGTAGTAATATGAGGAAATATGATACAAACATTTTAGCTGTTGCCTCCTAGGACGCCAACTAAGATGCCACGTAGGCTTTGTTTTGGATTTCAGTTGTTGTTTTTTAAATTTCTGTTGGCAGGAAATGTAGTTAAGAGTTCAAATTTCAGTTTTTGCTTTTTAGCCTTCAATTTCTTATATAAATAGAACCATTGTAATAGAAAAGGTTTATTATGAATGATAAAGTGAAAATCTGATCTCATCTCTCTCTGCTTCTTCTCCTTCTTCTCTCTTCCTTCTTCTTACTTTTCTTCCAAATTCACTGTTACATTGCCTTCGATATCAGAAATTAGTATCAAGTAGTATCAGAGCTCGTAGACAACGGGACCTCGAAGAGCTGTTGATGTGGTAACTGGTCTCAACCAGCTGATTTGCAAGAGCAATATGAGGATTTAGCAACACAACAGCTAGATCTCAGAGAGGAATTGACTCAGAAACAGCAGGAATTACGAGACGATATGGATAGGCGACATGCTGAGTTACTTCAGATGGTAAGTTCTCTAAAAAATTCCTTTGATGGCTAGCAATTGAATCAACAGTCGAAAGACAGTTCATCTCCTTCAAATGGTAGGGATAAGGTGCTCCAATCAAGGCAGGGCATCCTAGGTCCCAAACTGTGTTAATTCCAATCAAAATCATAATCTACCTTTTCCTCTTTTCAATAGTGAAATTTTGAAAAACTGGTTGTATAGGATCGAGCAATATTATTCTATTGATAAGACTCCTCTTAATCAAAGAGTGATCTTAGTAGCAATGAATTTAGATGATGAGGCTTTGGAATGGCATCAATCTTATATGAAGTGTCGTGATTCACTTGACTTGCCTGACTGGGATGAATACCTAGTTGCTTTGGTTGAAACATTTAGTGAAGAGTTTTCTGATCCAATGTTAGAGCTCAAACAATTGAGATAAACTGGGTCAGTGAGGGAATTTCAATTTGCTTTTGCTAGGATGTTAACTTAGTGTGATTTATCTATTAGCCAAGCCATATCTTGTTTCCTAGGAGGACTTAAGGAGGAGCTGGTGAATCCTGTAAAAATGCATGAACCTCAAACCTTATCTAAAACATATAGATTAGCTAGATTGGCAGAAGCAACATTAGTTGCTAATGCTAGAGCTCAAAGGTCCAACTATTGGGTCAATCCTCTTTTACTATGAGGAAGCCTAGCTATGAATTTGTTTGGGCTAAATTGTCTCCCACCAATGTTGTGCCTACTCTAAAATTAGCCCTACCTACTCCTAGAGTTCCAGTTGCTTCTAAGACTAGGAGGACCATTTCCCCTACTGAAATGCATGCTAAGAGAGCACAAAGGTTGTGCTACTTTTGTGATGACAAATATACTCATGGGCATAAGTGCAACCTCCCTAAGCAATTATTTGTGTTGGATTTGGAGTATGAAGAGGAGGAAGGTTTAGAAGAAATAGTGCGTAAGATAGATGGTGAAACTACTACTGAGGAGTGGTCTGTGACTGAAGGAGATCCTCCTATGATCTCCTTGTGTGCATTGAGTGGTATTCAAGGGGCACAACTATTCATGTGACTGGCTACAACAACAAGAGACCATTGCAAATTCTGCTAGATGGAGGAAGTACTCTCAATTTCATAGATTGTGAGTCTACTAAAAGGTTAGTTGCCAAATTTCTCCCACTAAAGTTGGTTATGTCAGCATGGGTAACAACTCTATAGAGGCCACTTCTGGAGTAGTGAGAAACTTCCAGTGGTTGTTGCAGGGTACTGCTTATACTTCTGACCTTATTGTGTTTCCAGTTGGCAAATATGATCTAGTGTTGGGAGCATTATGGATGAAAACTTTGGGGCCAGTTACCATGGATTACACAGCCTTGACTATGTCATTCACTTATCAAGGCAAGTTCCACCTTCTTAAAGGGGTTTCTGATGATTGTAAGTTCTCAAGTACTAAAATTGTTAACAAATTGAAAGGAAATGATGTCCAACTCTTTATGCTGCAAGTGTTAGTTCATCAACCTATTCTATAGTCAAATGATCAGTTTTATGCACTGCACCTCCCTTAGGATTCTCAAACTTCTAGTATCATTATGGAACTCATATGCCAGTATCATGAGGTTTTTGCAGATCCCACCACCTTACCCCCTCCAAGAGGTGCTTTTGATCATAGCATACCATTGCAACCTGGGACTAAACCAATCAACATACGACCTTATAGATATTCTTCTATGAAAAAGGATATCATTGAGTAGTTGGTTAAGGATATGTTGCAGCAGGGTGTGATTCAGTATAGCAACAACTATTTTGCATCACCTGCGGTGTTAGTAGGGAAGAAGGATGGTTTCGGGAGGCTATGTGTGTGCTACAGGGAGTTGAATCAATGTACTGTCAAGGAAAAATTCCCCATTCCCATCATAGATAACTTATTAGATGAATTAGCTAGGGCAGTGATTTTTTCAAAAATTGACCTTCGGTTAGGTTATCATCAAAAAAGAATGGTGACAACTGACATTCCTAAAGCAACTTTTAAGACACATCTGGGACATTATGAGTATTTGGTTATGCCCTTTGGCTTAACCAATGCTCCTTCTACTTTTTAGTGCCTCATGAACCATCTATTTCAACACTTTATAAGGAAATTTGTCTTGTTTTCTTTGATGATATCTTTATCTATAGCAGGAATTTGCAGGACCATGTATTACATTTGTAGCAGGTGTTTGAGGTTATGGTGAATAACAATTTGCTAGCTAAGCAATTTAAATGTGTTTTTGGTGTTACAAAGTTGGAGTACTTAGGTCACTTCATTTCTAATGAAGGGGTGTCTACAGATCCTAAGAACTTTGGAATTTGGTTGAGCAGCTAAACTTTGTTGCTTCTGTCATTTCCGCACCTGCGGATTGGGGACCGCAGGTGCGAGTCTCGCAGAAGCGAGATTGGGCAGCATATGCGGAGAGTTGAGGAGCTGAAGAGAACTGCAGGTGCGCATAAGGACCGCACTTGCGAGACCGCAGGAGCGGGAAGCTGACCGCAGAAGCAAAAACTCTAGGGTTAAGTGAAAATCGCACCTGCGATGGTTTTTCCGAAGGTGCAACGTCGCAGAAGCGACTCTAAGACTGCTGTTGCGGCCAATCACACACGCAAGTATAGACAGTCGTTAAGTAATAAAGTGACTAAAAGTCGGATGTCGAACCTATGAGGACTTGTGATTAACTAATCACTAAATTAGACTATCCTAATTATCTAAATAAGAATTAAACCTAGTAGTATATGAGTCTAATCTAATTAAAATAAAAAGAAGACAAATAATGAACTTTGAACAGAGGAAGAGCAAATTTTTATGTTATCAATGTTATGAAAACGATCTAGGTTTATGGGCTATCTAACAATTATAATGTATTCTTCAATTGAATTGACTAACTAATTTATCTAGTTTATTGGTTAACAAGGTTAATATTGCTCATAAGAATCTGTCGAGTTCTTACTTTCCTATTCAAGCTAACCTAACACCTATATGTCTATGGAGTTAGAACTAACAAGAACGCTTTTATAATTCCTATAAATCAACCAAGCAAGGCAATTAGGTATATGTTTATCTTAACCGTGAATCCGTCCCCGATGCCCAGGTTCAAGAAATTGCTCTATTCAATCCTATATGCAATCTGGAATTCCCACTTTCGAGTTTAATTCTAGATTCGTAGATAGTATTCAATTGGTGATCAAGCAATCAAATAATTAAGCGTAGGATTGAATAAATAAACCAATATGATAAACTAAGAAATCAAAATCAATATCTAAATAACAATAGTCATGAAAGAACCATAACCCTAGAACGTGATGTTTAGCTCCACATAGACATGGTAGTCAAACAACAAATCATACAAAGAAACATAAAAAATACTCAGTTTGGTGGAAGAAAGATGGAATTTGATGAATTTCGGCCTCCACGGCGGCTCTGTGCTTGTGTTTTCCTCTCAAAAACATCCCCCTCCTTACAAAATAGGTTTTGGTTGGCTTTTATATGAGTTGGGGGCATCTAGGGGTCTAAATAACCGAGTCCCGGTCAAAATAGGACATATTCACATCTCGAGCATCCAGGGCACCGTGGGGCACTGGCGCTAAAAATTTTTAGCTTCTGTAAACTGCGCCATAGCCAGCGCCCTACGCTGGTTGTGGCCCTCAAATTTCACTTTTTGCCTTTTTGTTCCAATTTCGCTCCAATTCGCGCCATTTCGTCCTAAATTGAATCTGAATGATTCCTACACATAGAAATACCACAATTTAGCACAAATCGTCATATTTAACATCTCAAATCGTTGAGACATGTACAAAATGTGAGGCGATATATATCAAACTATACATACATTAAGCCGATTATCAACAACCCACACTTAGACTCTTACTCGTCCTCGAGCAATGGAACTATATTA